TTCTTTTTGCTTATGTGGTGCTGAGGAATCGAACCCAGGGCCTCAGGCATGCAAGGCAAGCGCTCTACCACTGAGCCAACTTCCCAGCCCAAGAATTGTATTCTTAAAGTCTACTTGTGTCTGTTCCTCCAAACATCTAAGTCTTGAGCATTTTCAGTGTTAGAAGTCAAAAGGGGATCTAGAAATCGCTTGCTCCGGGCGCTGGTGGCTCATGCCTGTAATCCTAGCTACTCAGGAGTTTGAGATCTGAGAATCACAATTCAAAGCCAGCCTGGGTGGGAAAGTCCCTGAGACTCTTATCTCTTACCACCAGGAAACCGGAAGTGGCACTGTGGCTCAAGTGGAAAGCATAAGCCTTGAACACAGGGACAGTGCACAGGCCCAAAGTTCAAGCCCCACAATCGACAAAAAAGAAAATAAGAAATTACTTGATCCCCAATTCCTTACATTAGAAAACAGACTAAGAATTTGAGGGAAATGACCAAGGTCATTTGAGACAAAATCCTAAATTTTTTAATTCAAACATATATTTTTTCATTGTTCATGTGTCCTTGTTAGGGAGTAAGTAGTGAACAGCAACAAATAAGAACTATCATTCTATGGTTTCCTTCCTGTGCAATGTACTCTAAGCTATGTTGAAACCCCTACTCATTATCTGGCTATATATTAAGAAGTCTCAAAACATTGTCAAAACATTGTCTGCCTCCACATTAAAAAAAAAAAAAAGAAACCTTAGGAGCACACTAATGAGGAAGAAAAACATGGAGAGCTCAAAGTAGATCATGTCCTTGTAAAAATGTCCTATGTAAAAATCTCTGGGTGTTCATATTTGTTCATTCTGGCTGTTAGTATTTTTTTCTCTTTTGTGCAGAACTTATTAAGACTCTGCCTACTTCTATGAAGTGCATTTCAATAATAAACAGTTAACAACACACACACACACACACACACACACACACACACAAACACTCACAGAGTTGTCTCAAAATAAAAGATAAAAGGATTTCTCCCCTGTGGAAAAATTGTAGCCAAAAAGAAAAGAAAGAAAAAAAGAAACACTTCCACTTTCTATAAAGCAACAAAACTTCTAGCTTTTCCTTTCATCTGGAATATCACAAAAATAATGGAAGCCAACAAAGGCCATTATTCTTCCTAAGGGTCTTCAACCCCATCTAGCAGGGGACTTCCAGATAAAGAAGTCAATGAACTAGAACTTGCAAATGTAACCACCAACCTAATTAGTAATAACACAATGCAATGAAATAGCTCCCATTTATGCAGAGGTGGTCCATAATGATATTAAAGGTTTAATTCTGTCATAAATTTTAATACAATATTTTAAATGAGTGAGTTAATTACTCTCAAAAGTAAATTTACTTAGCTAAGTTTAAAAAAAAAAGCACCTTATTAGTATTCTCTAACATTTATACATTCCCCTTTGAGGGTTTACAGCACTGGCACTGGCTTTAGTGATAAAATCAGTCAAACTGATACATATTCATCAAGTAGCTTCTCTAAACCGACTGATGGTGCTTCTCTAGGTTCCATTACCAAGGAGAGTGGGAATATAAGCAAATCAGAGCCTCATTGAGTGCTAAGCTAGAAAATGAGAGAGTTGTATTAAATCATTACTAAGGCTTCTTCAAGTTCTAACTAAATATGATTCTATAATTTTACAAATATTCAAAAGCACCAGATATTGATGCATGTGATATAGTATAATACCCTTGGCTCACAGGCACAGAAGGCCCTAGCTGAAAGGTAAACATTATCGGCCAACACCATTCTAGGAGCCAGTTTCAGCCAGCTTCCAGGATGCGCAGTTGCTGAGATGTAAAGGATTAAAACAGGCATTATAAATCAAATGTCAGGCAGAAGTATAAATAAATGGGGAAAGCTAGTGTGAAAAAAAATTAGAGAAATATCCTCCAGCTGATTTCTGACTTTTAGGAATGTAGGCTCAATGGTAGCCCATCTTCAAATTTTTCCAAAATCAAACTCTAAAAATGCTTCATTCCCAAATATTCAGTCAAAAATTTTGAGACACTTTGCAAGGCAAATGTGTCTGTATAGTAGATATTTCTCTATATAATATGTATGTTTATGATATACACATACATGTATGCTATGTGCTCTCTTTTCCTATGTGCACTCTCTCTATATATATGTGATACCAAATCTGGCCTGTGATATAGCATGCTGTACAGTATATTACTTACTTTTACCTATCTGTGATCAAAATTCCTGACACAAATACCTTAAGAGAGGAGTTATGTTGGCTCACAGCTTCAGTTCCATCAATCATGTTGGGAAGGGCATGGTGGAGCAGAGCAGTTCACATCATGGCAGTTGGGAAGTAGAAGAGGACATACATGGAGGACCAGGATAAGATATAATCCCCAAGGATATGCATGCTACTTCCCCCAATCAGGCTTCACTTCTTACCTTTTGCCACCTAGCATACATAGAAAGATCAGTATCCCCTCTGGCCTCAATCAGCTCCTGAATCCTACTTCTACTAGGATAGAGCCATTCTCTAAAGACTAGGTGCCCACCAAGTAAGAAAGGCTGACATTTTACACCTATTGAGATTTTCAGCCAGATTGCAGTCTGGTATGTACCATTATAATATCAAGGTTTCAAGGTCTTGATGTGTTCCATTACAGTATTAGGCCTCCATCAAGACTCTGTCAGGCACAGTACAAACTTTGTACTACATGGTGGCTCAAGGAATAAGAGAAACTTTATGAGGAATGTGAGCTATCGGACTCAAAGTTATTTTTAGCTTCCTATCATGTGGCACCAGTTCATCAAATTTCACAATCCAGGTAAAAACCTGAGAGATCACTCTGTGTATATGTAACATTCTATTAGAATGCCACTGGGTCATAGTACCATGGTTGTTACAGTTTAAAGGTTACCAACTTATTCTAAATACTAAACCTAACACTGCTAGACAAAACTGGCTTAACATCAATTGGTCTTAAACTGTGACTTAGCCCCAGATTCTGCAATTACTGACAATGATGCACAAAATGTTCTAGAAGGCCATTTATTCAGAAAGATGTTCCCTGTGTTTCAGAATGATGCTCTCTGTGAAAGTAAGGCATGTAAACTAGAAGTAGAAAACAGTAACAAGGAATTAGAGATCCTTTGGAGAATTGGTAGAGGGTGGTGGAAGACAAGCCAAATCTACTTCTTCAAGGAAAGGCTACCAATCTACTAGAGACTGGAATATAGCCCTGACTTAATAATAGGGAGCCTCACTGGTGACTTGGTATCTGGTTTCTTTTCCTGGCATGCAGAGGTCTAGAAACCTCCTAAAATTGTATACAATCTTGTGTGTGTGTGTGTGTGTGTGTGTGTGTGTGTGTGTGTGTGTGTACTCATCTTTAAAAAAAACTATAAATATCTGGGAATCTCAAGTAGAACTCCCTTTGACAATGTAAGAATTAAAGTTCTGTTACCTTCTATTAGAACCATTCTAATTCAATATTAGAACCATTCTAATTCAATATTATTACTTCTCAACTACTTACATGTGAATGCTCTCTACGACCAAACCCTATTCAATTTCTGACTTGCTTTCTAACAGTAAAGTTAGTTTTGCTCATCATAGTAAGATATAAAATAGCTCTAAGTTCACAAACTTGAGAAATTAATTCATAACCATTCTTCCCGGTTAGCCTTTGCTGAATGTCTATCCTCAAAGGATTGTCATACGTTCCCCACACAAATATGAATGATTTCTTTTGGGGTTTTGTTTGTTTTGCTCTTACACTATTTTGAAATATGCATGGGAAATAGTTGACCTTATTCTTGCTGAGAAAGGCAGTTATTGGGCTGAGGGCAGGGGCTAGGCTAGGGGGAGAAAGTTATTGCCTAAATTAACTTTGTCCAGCTCTATTATGACAAAGTCTCATGTAGGTTATAGACTGTCCCTATCAGTAGGGAAAGACAAGGTTGAGTACAACAGGTGTTATCAGAGGTCAGGTAAGAGTAAACATGTAAGAAAGGGTAACTCCTGAGGAGTGTTTTAAAAGTGCCCATGAAGCCACTTAGACCAATGGATCTGCTTACCTATGGGGTCCCCGCCATCCCTTTAAAATTCCATGGTTCTAGATTTGAAAATATTTGCTATTTGAGCACAATTATATGGCGCAGCTAAGCTTCTCTATAGTTGCTGATTCATTTTGACTGTTCTAAATTTCTAAAGGTCATGCTCAGAGGCATAGCATTCCCTTCCCACTGATGGCTATGATTACACCATACACAAGGTTTTATAAAAGACAGCTGACACGACTTGCAGTTGAATTCTTCATTCTGTTTATTTCCAGAAGAGACTTCCCACAGACAGCTGCAACACCAGGCTCCCATAAGAATGTCATGCCAACCTTTTTTCAGTCAGCTTTCTACCCACATCTTCATCCTGACTCTAGGGATATCTCTTACAGGTCTAGTAGGCTATAGAAGGCAGGCCCGGGGATCTGGACTTGGCATGTCATTCTCAGACATTTGTAGGCTCAAATTCTGGCTCAGCCTTTTATTCTCATGCACTACCAAGCAAGTGCCTTAATGTGTCTTAGCCTCAGGCTCCTCCATAAAATGAGACTGTCAGTGACCACCAGCTTTCTGAGCCAGTGGAGAAGGTGAAGTGAGATCATAGGAGAAAGGCACCTCGCTGATTTACCTTTATCACAGAAGGAAACCAAACACTCTTTGCCTTGGAATGAATGAAATCAGAATTTTTCTCCAAAGGCAGCATCCGCCTTCAGTCTTCTCCCAACCTCAAGGCTTATTCTCTTCAAGTCAAAGACAGAGGAAGTAGGTCCTTTACATTTCTCTCAAAGGAGACCCCTTTAAGAAGCTTCTCTGATTGTAAGAAATACCAACCAAAATCAGAAAGCCTCGAGTCCTATGGAGTATAGCAAACACACAGGTTGACTTTTTGGGGAAACAAAGACCAGACACAATGCAGCTTCTGACAACAGTGAGCCCACCTTGGTTGAAGTCCTACTGTTTCTTGGCACCGGAAGGTGTTGTTTTGTGGACTCTGATGAGCTGGTGTTCCCACTCTACCCTGGCACTCCGTTTGTGTGGGGACCACATGGTCTGGCTCCTACAAGAACACAAAGTAGATGAGCTGTCAGTAGCAATCAGTGCTGCAGCATTCTGCAACTAGAGATAGTCTCATTGCAGCAACACTTAACATACTCTACTGATGGTAGTGTAGGGAGAGAACCTAAAATTTTAAAAAGCATCTTTCCATCCATCAACCTCGATAAGCTTGTAGGGAAAAATTCTATGACCGAAGCTATGAGATAGTCATAAAATGATAATTTTGCAGATGCTAAAAATAATGTCATAGAAAGCAGTTTAATGAAGATATATTGTAAATAGAATATACAGAATATTTATAGCATTGGCTAAGTTTGGCAAAACAAACATGTGAGTATTCATATATACACAGATTAGAATAAGTTAAACCCAAATCATAACAATGATTAGCAATCAAATATCATTTTTGCTTTTCTGGAAGGAATCCATATACATTTTTTCTACAAAAGAAAAATATAAAATTCTATAAATTTCTATAAAATTGAAATTTAAGTTAGTCTGAAAAGTAAGGAACAAGCCATTTGATAAATTCTGACTCCCATGTGTGATCGCTATCTCTTTATTACCACACATGGAACAAATGTAACTGGTTGCAAATGCCCCCAAATAAACCTCAGCACTGGGTATCTATGATGCAATCTACTCACTAACTGAGAAAAACCTCCAGAGTGTTAACCTCCAGAGTATAACACAAATACACCCAAGCTAAAACTAATCTGGATTCAATACAAAGTCATTCACAAAAAAAATGAAAGATTTATTGTATCCAGCAAGAGTTACTCTGATCCTTGAGCCATAACCAACCTCTAATAAATTCATCTTAGAGTATAACAATCCCTCTTTACCTGACACATAAAATGCTAAAAAGAAAATCCAAGAGCGATTCAGTAAATCCAGATGGCTACCACACAGAGTGAAACTATTTGTGGAACACATGGATTTGGGAACTGTGCGATATACTGTGGAGATGATACAGACTCAGCCTCTAGGAGGAGTATGGAATGATGTTGGTACAGTACCAATATGTCAGGTGACCTGCAAATCATTCTCTGAAAATGCCAGAATAACTTAATAACATGGCAAATAGCCCATGTGCCATGCAGTCATCACTAGCATTGAAAGCAAAAACTGTATGAATAACATAAACAGTCAGAATAGGAATGATGAAGAGCTGGGGAAAAAATGATGAATTAGGTATATTAAGAAACATTTTCATGTCTTCTAAGCTTCCAGTTTCAGGCAAGAAGATATTACATGTAGAAAGTTTCACCGTATGCATTAGCTTTCCAGACATAATAGCTTCTTAAGCAAAGTTCTATAGCTACTCATTACTGACCAAGTTTCCCACACAATGGTTTTCAAATAAGATAGCTCAGCTGGCTACTTGCTAGGTATGTAACTTTGGCTGAATTATCTGGATCTGTTTCCTTGTCTTTAAAATGGCTCATGCCTGTAATCCTAGCTATTCAGGAGGCTGAGATCTGAGGATCACAGTTCAAAGCCAGCCAGGGCAGGAATGTCCATGAGACTCTTATTTCCAAAAAACCACCAGAAAACTGGAAGTATCACTATGGCTCAAGTGGTAGACAGCTTGTCTTGAGCTAAAGAGCTGAGAGACCGCACCCAGGCCCAGAGTTCAAGCCCCATGATTGACAAAATAAAGAAAAAAAATTGGGGATAATACATCAAAGTCTCATAAGGCTGTTAAACAAGATGCAATCAGAGCCTCTTTTACTTTTAATGGAGGGACACATCAGATAGAAACTATTGATAATTATGATATTCCTATTACAAAAATTAATGAAATTTATATTATGAAATTAGCACTATGGAAATCTTAGGAGAATTAATCCCAATGATTTTTCAGCAAAATAAAACTCATTTTGTTGGGAAACATTTATCTTATGTCTCTATACTCATATGAATATTTTAAACATCATATTTTAAACCTTAATATGGACATGCCTTAAAAATAGTTTTTCTTAATCTCTAAATAATTTAAACCCCAAATTTTGATTTTCTTAATATGAAAATTTATTTGGAGGTAAAAGAAGCTTAAAAAAAAGACAGAAGCTTATCATTTTTTTTTTCAGTTGCCAGCAGGTTTAGAAGGGTTGAGCTGCATACTGCTGCACTCTCGGCTTTAATGACCTACTTTAGTGATATGTAAGAGGGACTCTGGTGAAAGTGTTTCTTTAACCTATTCTAGTCATCAATCTCAAAGCATTGCAGGAGACTGGTAGGAGTACTTGGGAGCAGCTGGCCCACTACAAATTTCAAAATGGCATGGAAATGGGGGAAGAAAAAGTAAGGACTTTAGTGTAAATCATTCTGAATATTGACCAGCACAGCAAATTCTAGTGTGAAATAACATGTATGCTATTAGTAAGTCACTGCCTTTTCCAATTCTAAAAGGTTAAACATGACCCAAAGTTCTGATTTCCAACCTCCCCATCCCCAGATCAGAAACTCAAAGGTAGCCTTTTTCAGATAATGCCAGATGTGTTATTTTTTCAAAACTCATATAAGCCTGGAAAACTTTTTCTTCGTAAGAAAAATGAATATTTTTCTGCCTTGCTCCTTTTACTTCTTTATCTTAAAGAAGTGATTTTGTGTGGGCCAACAGCCCAAACAAAGCTCTACATGGGAATCAATAAAGCCTGCAGATGGTTCTAAGGTGGAGGCTCTAATTCTTTCAGTTGATGACCCTGACATAATGGATCAGAAATAAGACTTCCTCACTGTGTCATGAGTTCCTGACCCATAGAAGCCATGATAGTCAATAAGTAAATAGTATTCTTTAAGTTTGGGGTTATTTATTACACAGCAATACAAAAGTAAAAGTCACTAACACAACTTTTAGATACTGTCAATGATAAAAGCAAAGGTTGTTTAAATAACAGCTTTTTCTAGGAGAAAACATTAAATACATTCATCAGTTGTAAGGTACATTTGGGTAAGGAAGGTGAAGATCTGAAAAGATGTGTGAATGATGTCATACCTGGTAGATCCAGGAAGGTGAATGACAAGATGTCATATGAGAGAGACAAATTCAGAATCAAATTATAATAAGGAAGTAAAATTTGGTCTCCTAGTTCTCCTCAATGAGAAATGCATCGAGGAAAAAAGAGAGGTGACATACTTAGGCCAGAAGGATGATGTTGCATGCAAAAGAGGCCTTCCTGAAGACCTTGTAAAACATGAGGGACATATATGCACATTAAGACTATGCCTATTACAGAAGTTAGTGGGTATTTCTTTGTAGTGGCTGAGGAAATAGGCTGATAAAATAAATACGGCTTATAATTCACTAGGTCCAACAACATTGAAGTGAAAGTTTTTTATTAAGTTTTGGGATAAAAACTTCATTATTTCAAATTATTTGCACTAAGAGAAAATATTTAAATACTTAATTCACAATTATACAAGTAGGAGCACATTGTAGTTCACCTAAGCTAGAGAGCCCTGATCTTAATTCCAATCCTCTAAATGCAAATTCACAAGTCTTATGAACAGATGCATCAACAAACCCAAGTTTACCAGAGAACTGACAGCTAGCCCATGCAAAGTAGCATAAACAGTCACAGTTAACAAAATGTTAACAGTTGGGGCTGATAGTTCCCAAGTGTAAAATCCACAGAGTATTTGGTTTTTCAGTGGTGTTTTTTTTTTCTCCTGTGTAGCATGTGGCTAAAGGACATAGTGACTGAAATGAATGAGATACATAAAGAAACTAAGGTCTTCATTTTCATATGCTTACATGGATAGAGAAAGGGAAATATTTACTAGATGAGAGAAAAGCAAGATTAGCTCTTGGGAGTTTGGATAATGGGCTATGTAAAATCTAGCTACCTCTTCCCAGAAATCCTTGCATTTCTTTTTCTGTCCTGCTGATGAGTTAGACCTTATACAAGCCTCTATCTCTGCAGTTAGATTAACTTCATTGAACCTACAAGAGACCTTAAACAGAGTAAAGCATGGGAGGAAAAAAGCAAAAGGCAAACAACTTCTGGTCATGATCACATGGCTTCACACCATGCTGGTATCTCTAAATACCATGCCCAAGCCCAGAGATGTGTTTGCTCTGACCTTTGAACCAGACTGACCCTTCCCATGAATGGGGTTCCTAGACTTGACTCTGGCAACTCCTAAGATTCAGGAATTGGTCATTTCCTTGGCTTTATGGGCTTGCTGGGTTTCTAACTACATTTACTATCATTGTTGTATCCTTTCAAGTGCTCTATTCTGCTTTTCGAGTTCCTACCTTCAGGGAGCTTGCAATCTAGAAGTGGTGATGCACAGTGGTGCTGGTGGAGGGTGAAACAGACCAATAACAGGCAATTATAGTATGTAGTATAATATGATCAATGTTACAGTGGAATAAAGGTAAGCATGAGATGCTCTGAAAATATACAGGAATGACACCAAGCCCAGTTCTTGGGAAAAGTACTACCAAAATGGCTGAAGGGATGAATCAACTGGAAGGCACAGAGACATGTGGAGAAAGAATGCTCCAAGCAAGCATTAATGTTTTACATAAGAACATAGTGTGTTCAAAGAACTCAAAGAGGACATGAGGACCAATGAGGTAGACACAAAGCACAAGAAGCACAAACTTTGTAAATGTGAAGCCTGCTAAATCTTAAAAGAGTTTGAGGGCTTTGCTCTGAAGTCAACAGCAAGTCTCTGAATGATATTTGGATTTGCACAGGATCAAGATCATCTCAAGTTCGTGTGGCAAATGGAACCAAAAGTGGGGGAGGTGGGAGAAAGGAGGATAGTTAGATAATTATAGCACCCTGAACAAGAGATGACTGGCACTTGGATTACAGAGGAGATAGTCCATATGGACAAAAACTAATTGGTTTAAAATATAATAAAAAGGGAGAGAGAATTGGTCTGTTGAATGACAGGCTGTGATTAAATATAAAAGAGGAAGGACAGAAGGTGATGATAAATCTCTTAGTTTGGAAAATGGGATGAACTTATTTCTGCTTCCTG